CCTACCGTCCGTTGTGATAACGCCCGTGAGATAAACTCCACTCAAGCGTACGGCCGTCTAATGCACAAAGGCGCTGGCTGACAGTTTTGCTGACGGCTAGGATGCACTGACATGACTTATTGAAAATCCCGTGATTTTCTGGTTAATCATTAACAGTCGGCTTACTCACTGACGCAGGCTAGCCAAAAAATGTACTTTAGTGGTACAGGTGTAAAAAACATTGGGATCTTAAAATATGCTTTCAAACAAAAACTACTGTCTAGGGGACAATGCACGCTGACATCGACCCCCCTCGCCCACCTTGGTATTCCGACTTTTGATTTAGAATCTTTCCAATCTCCTTACGTTAACTTCACTCGCGATGAGGTTTCAGTGCAGCTGTGCCTCGGACCCATTAATGATACCTATAAAATCAACTAATTACAAAGGATCGCAAAGGGTTCCTTTTCTACAGTCGTTTTGCCAAAGTGCACTTTTTTCAAGACATTTTGCCATGGATCTTGTTTATTCAAAACACCTGTAGCTAACAAATCAGCCTACAGGTTCAGAATGCATTTATCTCCCTTTGGGAGTTGGGTCGTGCGTGATTTGCCCACGCGGGTAGACGAACCGATATCTGCATAGGGCTATCAGGGAAAAGCAAGCTAACAGATGACACTGAAGCCGCTAATCGTACTTTTCTCCTTCTCCTCACTGATAAGCGACGTCGCCATTTGATTTACTTTCCCTGTTTTGAATCTCAGTGATGCCCCAGCAAAGCCAGTCCTAAGCCCTATAGCCACTTTAGCTGACGGATTAGCACAACCCTGAAGCGCAGAGCGTATACAGGCTCCTCGTCCCCACTGGTTCTGCCTAAAACGCCTGTTTCAATTAGGCAGTATCGTGCCTCTAAGCAGTGAAATAATTACAGGATGTGCATACGAAAACTGCTGTAGGAGTTAATCATGCACAAAACTTTGACTGGACTTTGTGTAAACTGCTTTATTGAGCGATATACTCAACAACGACCTTATATTTTTTTCAAGGTTTAGAAAATCATTTGTCACCTCTCTCAATGTTGACATATAAGAACGTCGTAAAGCTCACAAAATACGAACACACAGCTGCACGAAAGGTCAAACAAACGACTTGCTGTTCAAAAGGCACGATTTGCACAATGACGGACGCGCCTGACAATGAAGAATAACTTATTAAATAATAACTAAAAACCAATATCGAAAGGGGCATCCTTTGCAAGTGATTCCTTCCGAGTCAGATCCACACATGTGATAGTGTGAGAGCATCAAGGTAGGAAATGGGTTATCGGCACTTGAAAACCTATTTAACGTTGCAAACAGTTTCATCAGTTTGTGCAAATGGGTCATTTGCGATTACTGATTCGGTGAACAACATTGTTACTACTTTAAAATAAGTAGCTCAGTAAGTGGTGGTTAAAAGGCAAAGTAATCTCGAGTACATTGGCCTATGCCTACCTCGACTCGCTCATCATAGCAGCAGCATTTATGAGAAGTTCCATTTGATGATCGGTATTGTAGGCTCGAGCGTAAGCCACATTGTCCAACACATCACTGCCCGAGAGGCCGTAGCGCTCAGCAACTGCCAGGAGTCTTTCCGGACGAAAGGTGCCTTCGGTATCGATATACAGGCACTTGCCCTCTCCTCCACCCATGTCAACAGGCAACTAGGAAAAGGGAAACGGGTGCGACACAAAAAGAAATTAAGACATTAATTAGTACTACAGGCAGAACCTGTGTTTACTC